CGGGGCGGCCCCCGGCTGCCCCGGGACCCGCGGCCCCCCTGCTCCCAGCCGCCTGCCCTTCAAAGCCTTCTGTTTCCCTGCCATATATAGCGAGGGCTCAGCTGCCTCCAGCTATTTTTAGCCCCTTTCCCTGGTCCCTAAGCCACTGCATCTGACAGCCAGAGCCCACTCCTCCAGCGGCCCCGTGGCCTGAGGGCAGGTCAGCGCCCTCCCAACCAGGGCAACCGCGGCCCGCAGGCTCCCGAGACCACCCACCTGGTGCTTGCGACTGCCCCCCCACCTAGTGGGGTCCTAGCCCCCCAGGACTGCAGGTCCCCAGGAGGTCAAGCCCCTCCTGACCTCCGCTCCTTGCTCCTCTGGTGCCAAGCCCAGCCCTGCGCGCTTAGGCCGCTCCAGGTGGTCTGAGGCTCCCCGCTGGGTGGGAGTGGGAAGAGACCCCACCTGCTGCCCCCGGGGCCCGGGCCACCCCTCCCTGGCGGGGGTCCTGCAGCTGGGGGTGGGACGCCCGGGCGTGCCAGCTGGGAGAGCCTGTCCCCCCGGGGTGCGCCCCCTGACTCAGGGCGCAGCACACCGTGGGTGTTCAGCCTGGCCCAGCGGGAGCGAGGGCTGGTGGCGGCGGGGCCGGAGGGGCGGGGTCACCGGAGAAAAGCCAGGCCAAGGGGCGCGTGCCGGCCATCTGGACGCCCCGGGTTCGCAGGCGGGAGGCGGGTGGGGCTGTGCGAGCACCGGGCCTCAGGGGCCCGGTGGGCACAGGTGAGTCCGGCCTCCAGGTCCGGGCGCTCCTCGGGTGCCTGCCTGCGCTGAGCTCGGGTGAAGAGCGTGACGCGAGAGGGGAGGGCGACCCGTCAGCCTGCGGGGCAGGGGCCTCGGCACTTGGGGCGCAGCTCCCGGCCCCCGCCGCCCCGCTGTCTGAGGTGGTCAGCGCCGCCCCCCACCCCATAAGGCGCCCGCGTGTCCGTCCAGGGGCGTCGGGGAGGCCCTCCAGGTGGACTCCGCCAGCTGCCCACCCCTCCGCCCCAGCCCCCGGCGTCCACCTGTCCCGGCCGCCCTCACCCCACCGAGCCGGGCTGTGGTCTCACTTCCAGTAAGATGACTTCTCTTTCATATTAGGCCCGGGCGAGAGAGCGGAGACATTTATGAAACTTTGTTTAATGTACTGAAAAGCCATCGGCCAGAACATTTAGGAAATTGATTTTCCTGGCATTGATGAACTCGTTTTATTTTACCCCAGTATTAATTACTTTTTTTTTAAACAAATTAATTTAAGAGTCGTAAAACCTAACAAGTGAGCCAAATGTTCATAGATCATGTCCTGCTCCGCCCCCTCCCTCTGGGGGGGCTCTCGGGCGGGGGCGCCTGCCCCCCCCGCTGCCTCGCCCC